GCCTTCGGTGTATAGGACGCAAGCAGATTTTGACATCAAATTTTGGGGTAAAAAAAGTGTCTTATACACTGAAAAATACAGTATATAGACATTATATCTTGTGGTAGTATTTTTTATCAATTGTAAAATGGTCCAGAGATAAAATATCTTCTGTAGTGGAATTGTTCAACAGTGCCACTTTTTCATATGAGAAAATAATACCTTGAATATGGTTAGAATGAACATCTCAGAAAAGTAATGACTTGTATTCTATTTATTTTGTTGTGAAAGTTTCATAAATAATAAGAGCAGGTTAATCAATTGAAGTATAATTCTCTTAGTATTTTCCATGCTTTTCTTCTTTTTTTATTGTAAAATAAAACGAATTTGATCTTAAATTGATTTATGATTTTAAATGTTTCAAAAATTATGTAAAAGATGGTTATAAAGTTACCCAAATGCTTAATTTTTTTGCTCCTTTTTTGTAAATATTCATAATTAAATCTATATTAAGACTAACTGAAATAATCTCAAATCATTCATATATAATGAAATTCTTATGTGAATAATAATTTTTTGTGATAAGAATGAGTGATATGTTTGTGAGTAAAAGGCACATTGAAAAATATGAAATTGCATTATGTGTTGTTGATGTAAGTGCACGATATACTGGAGACTGTGTGATTTTTTTCCCCATCTAGATCTAGCAGTTGGTGCACCCTATGAAGAAAGTGGCAAAGGTGCAGTTTACATTTACTTAGGATCTGCAGAAGGTCTTATTACAAAGGCAGCTCAGGTAAATGTGGTGTTTGTAACTAAGTAAAATATTATTGTAGACAGCTTCTTTATAAAAAGCTGAAGTAAATGTGTTTATCCCTTTGTAGAAAATAAAAAAACATTGAAGCTAAGCATGTTTCCATAGTTTGTATGTCTAGTGCCAGAGTTAATGTGAACATTCATTTGTGAAATTGTTTCTATACTTACCCAATACATTAGTAAATTTTAAAATGATTAAAATATTATTATCCAAGATAAATCTAAAATGTCATGCACTGGGGAGCAGCTATCAAAGCATGCCATCTAGCTTTGGATAGAGCAAATAATCATAATATATTATATGAGGAGGGGGCACCTTTCACGGAGGACATACAGTTCTTCATATGTAGAGAGGTAGAGTCTTACTTGTAGTCTGATGTTTTTTGTCCTGTTGGCTCTGAGGCTGAGTTTGCAGGGGATCAAGGGCAAACTGATGAGAATTTAGACTCAATATTTCTGGCACCTTCTTTTGCTCTTACAGCTAATCATGAATCTTCCTGCATCTTATTTGCAACTAGTACACCAAGTTTGTAATGTTTAGAGTATTTCTCCTG